ACCCACAGCTTGTGGGGAGAGACCTTCCTGCCCTTGCTGGGGGTTCCCCGGCCCTGCCGAGCCCACTCGGCCCCACCCCGGGGATGGGGGATGGCTGGGGAGGAGAGAAAGGGGTTTGGGACATGGGACTGGAGGGACAGGAGACAGGGAATGGCTTCCCACTGCCAGAGGGCAGGGATAGATGGGAGATTGGGAAAGAGTTGTTGGCTGTGAGGGTGGGGGGCCCTGGCCCAGGTTGCCCAGAGAAGCTGTGGCTGCCCCTGGATCCCTGGAAGTCTCCAAGGCCAGGTTGGATGGGGCTTGGAGCAACCTGGGCTGGTGGGAGGTGTCCCTGTGGGCTGGAACTAAATGATCTTTAGGGTCCCTTCCCACCCAAACCAGGCTGTGATTCCACAGAGCAGCCTGAGGGACACCAACCCGATGGGTCCTACCAGAGAATGGTCAGCAGAGAGGCAGGAGGGGGGGAATCCAGACCCCAAATCACCCCAGGAGATCCCACCCAGCCCTTGGGATCCCCGGTAGTGTCCTCAGACTATCAGGTCTCAGGTCCAGGACCTCCTTCCACGCTGGAACACAGGGAACAGAAAGCCCCAGCCCAAAGCCAGCAGAGCTGAGACCAGGAGGGGTTGATCAGAGAACTCATCTGTCCAGGGATGAGCTCCACTCCGTGTTTGAGGTCTGGAGGAACCCAGAGAGCACAGAGGACTCGGGCACCACGGAAGGGTGTCAATAAAAAACCCCCACCCTACAACTGCACGGCTGGAAAACAAGAACTAGCCAAGAACAGCCCCCCAAAAAAACACTTTTCCCTCTGTTCCAGACGTCTGATCCACCACATCCAGGTCAACAAACAACTCCGACTCGAACTGGAGAAAAGAAGGAGCTGCCTCTTTAACGCACTAATTACGATCCCGAAGCACTAATGGGATTAGAAAGCAGGATTTAGTGGTTGTCTCCTGGAAAATCATTAAGTGCCATCAGAGCAAATGAAGCTCCCCGGTTCTCCCGGCAGCTTTCGGGAAGCCGGGTCCTTCCGCAGCGCCACGGTGGCCCCTGGCGGGGTGTGAGCACAGCAGAGCCCAATTAACATCGGCTCCTTCCTCTGTTAATTCACTAATCGGGGGCTCGGGTTGCCCGGCACCACCGGGAAGGGAGCACTGGAGACACCGGGAAAGCTGGAGAGAGTCAGGCAGGGATCAGAGGAGTCACGGAGTGGTTCAGGTTGGGAGGGATCTTATTCCATCTCCTGCCGCGGGCAGGGACAGCTTCCACCAGATCAGGGTGCTCCAAACTGGCCTCGGACACTTCCAGGGATGGGGCATCCTGTGGGAAATCCATTCCAGCCCCTCAGCACCCTGACAGGGAGGAATTTCTTCCTAATAGCTCATCTAAACCAGCCCATGGAATCATGGAATGGTTGGGGTTGGAAGGGAGCTTGAGGATGATCTTATTCCACCCCCTTCCCTGGGCAGGGACACCTCCCACCAGCCCAGGTTGCTCCAAGTTTATCCAGCCTGGCCTTGGACACTTCCAGGGATCCAGGGGCAGCCACAGCTTCTCTGGGCAACCTGTGCCAGGAGGGTGGAGAGCGATGAAGGAAAAGAGGCATCGCCCTGTTTGTGCAACCCCGTGTGGGATTCCCACCTCCACGCCCTTCCCTGCTCCTTCCCCTTGCAGGATGTCGAGGAATCCCATCCCCACTGGGGCACGACGAGTTTCCTGGTCCAAACCTGCCCCAGCCCCGTGTCAGGGTGACCTGGGGCATGTGGGGACCACCCACCTGGGGGATCAACCAGCCTGGGGGGACCAGAGGGA